CATGTGTAAGTACGTAACATAAAATGTAAAAAAAGTCTTTGGACTTTGTAAAACCATTATTTCTGAAATTATTCCACTTTTTTATCATTATTAAACGGTGATAATGGGTGGTTATTATTATGCATCATTTAACTTTTCAATTCGGCTTCAATCGTCCTATGGGAGTCCTCGGTTTGGAAATGCTTAAAGCTTTGTTTTTCGTCACTGAGTGAATCAGTTAAATTTTTAATTGTGTAAAATAACTCCCATTAATCTAAAAACCGAAAAAAAAAGGGGAAAATGTATTTTGATAAAAAAGAGAAAACAATTCAGGGTATTTACGTAAAAACATCAATATTATAATATAAAATAATTACAGTTGTGTAAAAAGCTTCTTTCCTCATAATATTTAAATTGTTACTATTTAGCTTTTTGATAACCGAAAGTTTTACAAATTAATTTTTTTTTACAATAATATTCTGTTTTGAATTAATGAAAAGTTTAATATAAAAAAAAAAGATGCTACACCACCATGCCCACAAGTCGAAGGTATTTTTAAATGAGATTTGCAATGTAAATGTTATGTTTGCGAAAAGCCTAAAATTCTGATGTTGTCTTATTACAAAAAATTATATAATTTTCAATTCGTTTTACTTTTGAATCATTGAAAACCATGGCTGTGAATATAGTTACCTGATATTAAAGTCAAGGCACATAGGCAGGCGAAAGCAGAAATATCAATCTGAATGTTATGCAGATTACGGGAGAAATCCAAGATGGCCGACAGCCATTCTCCAAATCCCCGACGGCACTGCTCCAGATGGAGGATCGTACCATTACAAAACATTAATTTCTCGTCTTCCGGTTTTGTCCTGTAAGCACGTGATGAAAAACTGCTTTATAAAACGTAGTAAGACTTACGTGAATTAACAAGAAACAGTCACGTGAACTTATAAATTACAACATGAAGTAACCACTGAAGAATATCAGAGTTATATTTGGAAAATAATTGGAGAAAGTGTAAGAGAAAATACATCCAAAGTAATATGCTAAATCTTAGCATAGTAACGTAGCCATTAAAGATTTCACAGGCACCACCAGTTAAACAATCGTTGTTAATCTTTAACAAATTTTAATTAACTAAAAATGCATTAGTAGATTTTGAAAAAAGAAAAGAAAAAACTGGAAAGAGTAGAATTTGGAATTATACGATGCTTTTATGTTACATTATTTTATGTTGATAGATGTGTTTGTACATACAACAGCAATTTTTGCTATTGAAACTTCCAAAGGCAGCACTTATACTAATTGTAAACAGTGCTTATTACTTGTTTGTTTGTTTTTCGCGCAAAGCTACACGAGGGCTATCTGCGCTAGCCGTCCCTAATTTAGCAGTGTAAGACTAGAGGGAAGGCAGCTAGTCATCACCACCCACCGCCAACTTTTGGGCTACTCTTTTACCAACGAATAGTGGGATTGACCGTCACATTATAACGCCCTCACGGCTGAAAGGGCGAGCATATTTGGTGTGACGGGGATTCGAACCCGCGACCCTCAGATTGCGAGTCGAGCGCCCTAACCACCTGGCCATGCCGGGCCGCTTATTACTTAAAAAACAGATTATTACAAGTTTTCACGTCGTGAACAAACTGAGCAAAGATGATTGATTTTTTTTTCAAAAACCTATCCTAAAACGTGCGATTCCTTTCTTTCGAATGTTTGTTTTTCAAAATAATCTAATAGATTACTTACTTAGTTTAGATTTATTGAAGATTTAAATTTCTTCTACGTTTAATTATTGTTGTTGAACCTCATTAGTTGATGGATAGTGCAGCTCTCTATCGGTTAAATGGGCAACTAAACAGAACTATTAAAGCATATATAGATATATATATGTATGTTTTTTTAAAATAATTACCTGTAAGCTAGCCTTAGGGCAAATAATTCCAGGCTTGCTGACTGAAACAATAGTTCCTGGTCACTTGTATCTAAGTCTGTGAAACCTGGTATTTTTTCTGCAAACGTTCGGATGACGTCAAGAGACGAAGTCAGCAAATAGTAAAACTGTTGCACTTTCTGGGAATCTGTTGACGGACTTTCACCTCCAGATGATTCCCTAAACTGTAAACATGTACGAAATTAATTAATATCATATTTTTTAGAAGTGCTTAAATGTAACGTAATAACTCTAATTTTTACGTTTGGACATCAAGATATTTAACACGTCGACTACTGGCGACTACTTTTTTTTTAACTGTCTAATGTTAATAATAACTTATTATCCAATCATAAGCTGGTTGTTTACTATATTTTTTAGGGTTGAATGTACGTCATATTACGCAAGATACACCGACAAATTTATCATGAAAAAATAAATAAAAACAGCTTAGATTTTTTTTGTCACACTTTTACCTTTGAATGGTCAAGATTCGAGACGTCAGGTGTTGTGTCAACATGTGCTCGAACCAGAGCGGTGATCAGACTGATAGGTGGCGATGATGGTGGCTCCTGTGGAGATTTCTGTTTCGATGGCAGTCGACCACGACGACCTTTCAAATTATCCGTTCTTACAACTGGTGGTAAAAAAAAATATCAAAATCAACTACTGATTGTAAAAGCTTGATTTTCACTATACATATATATATTTATTTAATTTAAAAAAAAAGTCAAATTAACAGAATTACAGGTAATCAATGCCCTACAGTAATTAAATGTTTTTTAATTAGGTAACATACAAAGACGATAATTGATTGATATAGAATTTTTTTCATCACTCTGCTGGTTTAGTTGGGTCATGAAGAATAAACAGACCTGCGAATTTAAACTTCATAAAAGGTGTTTCGGTTGTTTGTTTGTTTGAATTTCGCGCAAAGCTACACGAGGGCTATCTGCGTGAGCCGTCCATAATTTGGCAGTGTAAGACTAGAGGGAAGACTGCTATTTAACACCACTCATCTTCAACCCTTGGGCCACTTATTTACCAACGAATAGTATGATTTACCGTCACATTATAACGCTCCCACGGGTGAAAGGGCGAGCATATTCGGTGACAGAGATTGGAACCCGCAGATTGTGAGTCAAACACTCCTAGCCACTAAATCATGTCAGGCCTCAATGCATGAGTCTTTTTAATGGCTTTTGAGACTAAAGCAAATCTAAGCTCCCTATTCTATAATTCTATTCAAACTATACCTACAGATACAGGCCTCTTAGGTTGAACTGACAAAATAGATACAGGCCTCTTAGGTTGAACTGATTAAACAGATACAGGCCTCTCAGGTTGAACTGATTAAACAGATACAGGCTTCTTAGGTTGAACTGATTAAACACATACAGGCTTCTTAGGTTGAACTGACTAAACGCATACAGGCTTCTTAGGTTGAACTAACTAAACACATACAGGCCTCTTAGGTTGAACTGACTAAACACATACATGCCTCTTAGGTTGAACTGACTAAACACATACATGCCTCTTAGGTTGAACTGACTAAACACATACAGGCTTCTTAGGTTGAACTGACTAAATAGATACAGGCCTCTTAGGTTGAACTGACTAAACACATACAGGCTTCTTAGGTTGAACTGACTAAACACATACATGCCTCTTAGGTTGAACTGACTAAACACATACATGCCTCTTAGGTTGAACTGACTAAACACATACAGGCTTCTTAGGTTGAACTGACTAAACACATACAGGCCTCTTAGGTTGAACTGATTAAACACATACAGGCCTCTTAGGTTGAACTGACTAAACACATAGAGGCCTCTTAGGTTGAACTGACTAAACACATACAGGCCTCTTAGGTTGAACTGTCTAAACACATACAGGCCTCTTAGGTTGAACTGACTAAACACGTACAGGCCTCTTATGTTGAACTGACTAAACACATGCAGGCCTCTTAGGTTGAACTGACTAAACACGTACAGGCCTCTTATGTTGAACTGACTAAACACATGCAGGCCTCTTAGGTTGAACTGAATAAACACACACAGGCCTCTTAGGTTGAACTGAATAAACAGATAAATCAACTATGATATGGACTTACCTTCTTTAACCATTCCTACAGCCAAACACTTCTGAAAGCGACAAAACTGACAGCGGTTCCGACGACGTTTGTCTACTGGACATTCTCGGTTTCCCAAACAGACATATTTGGCTCCTTTTTGAACGGTGCGCTGAAAAATGTAAAAACAGAATGTACAACTTAAACCAGAAACTGAATTAACTGCAGTACAACTTAAACCAGAAATTGAATTAACTGCAGTACAACTTAAACCAGAAACTGAATTAACTGCAGTACAACTTAAACCAGAAACTGAATTAACTGCAGTACAACTTAAACCAGAAATTGAATTAACTGCAGTACAACTTAAACCAGAAACTGAATTAACTGCAGTACAACTTAAACCAGAAATTGAATTAACTGCAGTACAACTTAAACCAGAAATTGAATTAACTGCAGTCTTTGTTCAATTATAAAAGTATTAGAGCGACTCATAAAAATTATTTCTTTATTTCAGTTAAAGTAACTGATGATTTGGTTGAAGGAAACACTGAAAAAATAATTCTTTCAACCTGCTTTCAGTATTAAATTGCTGTCCCCCAGTGGCACAGCGGTATGTCTGCGGACTTACAACGCTAGATTCCGGGTTTTGATACCCGTGGTGGGCAGAGCACAGATAGCCCATTGTGTAGCTTGGTGCTTAATTACAAACAAACGAACAATTACATTTTCAGCAAAATCTCCGCCTAACGGTTACTTTAATTACTTTCAGCCTTTCTGTTATTATCACTCGTTACTGCTCCATACATAAATTTAAAAAAAATCACACCAAAAGAGAATTAACTTTATTAAATCTGTATAAATATAATAGTACTGTCTGTTATCTATATAAATATAATAGTACTGTCTGTTATCTATATAAATATAATAGTACTGTCTGTTATCTATATAAATATAATAGTACTGTCTGTTATCTATATAAATATAATAGTACTGTCTCTTATCTATATAAATATAATGGTACTGTCTCTTATCTATATAAATATAATAGTACTGTCTGTTATCTATATAAATATAATGGCACTGTCTGTTATCTATATAAATATAATAGTACTGTCTGTTATCTATATAAATATAATGGTACTGTCTGTTATCTATATAAATATAATAATACTGTCTGTTATCTATATAAATATAATAGTACTGTCTGTTATCTATATAAATATAATGGTACTGTCTGTTGTATGCGATTACTTCGCAGGGTGTAAATAAATCTTCATCAAATTTGGTACGGAGGTTCATTGGGTCCATGGGGAGATACATACAAATTTACAGTTTTGCATTTTGCGATTTTCACCATTATCTCATCTCCCGTAGATGGATCTCTACGAAATTTGGTACGGAGGTTCATTGGGTCCATGGGGAGATACATACAAATTTACAGTTTTGCATTTTGCGATTTTCACCATTATTTCATCTCCCGTAGATGGATCTCTACGAAATTTGGTACGTAGGTTCATTGGGTCTATGGGGAAATACATACAAATTTTCAGTTTTACATTTTGCGGTTTTTATGGGCGTTTTTGCGTTTTTTTACCACCACATCGCCCCTGTTGGTGGATCTTCACCAAATTTGGCATGAAGGTTTATTGAGTCCATGCGAAGATAATGCAAACTTGAGGTTACACATTTTGTGTTTGCAGTTTCTATTAAAATT